GCGACATCCATGGCACCAACCACTGGACCGAGGAACACCACTCTTGCGCGGAGCTCAATAGCAAATGCCGGTTCAGGTCCGAATTGTACATCCTGCGTGGGGCCTTTAGGAGCTAAATTCCAGCAGGGTTTCATGGGAGCCCTGGCATGGGGCGGGGGAGGCAACATGGAGGCTAGAGAAGGGCGACCTGTTTGACAGCGGCGCTTCCGCTTTCGTTCCACACAGCTGCGCCACAGAGTAGTTTGCCCCTGCCTCGTCCGCCCAAGCTTCCGCCTTCCCATTTTCTGTTTCCGCATCAGTGCCCTCATCATGTAATTATTGCTCCTTCTACTGTAGTTGTGCGCAGACGTGACGACGACGATTCGAGAAAGACTATAGCTTCCTGAAGTTGGCCGCGAGGTCATCCATGGGCAAGGCCTGGGAATGCAGTGGGGTGCGGTCTACTTCGTGAAGCCGGGATCCGCCTATGCGTCCTGGCTGCAGAAAGGATCATGGGACTGAGCAAGTGAATTTATAAGTCCCCTATAAGTCCCCTAATTGGGGTTATAAGTATAGTTACCTTAGTTAAGTTTCTGGAGAGTCGGGAGTTGGAATCTCAAAGCCCAGGCGAGCCGAGTTTTTCCAACGTCTGAGCTGAGGCAGTCTCGGGTGATGCCAGCCGTTGTGAGGTGCAACTTGGCCTTAATGTTTAGGGTTTAGGGTTTAGGGTTTAGGATGAATCAATCCCCAACAAACTTCGAAGACCTGAACCAGACCACACCTCACACCCTATGCCCTGCATTCTACAGCAGAGATGGAGCCCCCTGCGACTGTCCTGGAAGTACAATAAGAACATTTGACATTGAGACGTTGTCCAAGTTAGGGTCGCTATTTCCATCAGAGCAATACTAGGTCACTAGGTTCGGCACTGAAAGCACGGCATGGTAGCAAGGCCCCACGGTCAGCAGAGCTGATGGATGCCCGTGTAGCCCCAGATTCTGGCAGCTCGTGGGTTTTGGATCTAGGACCGCTCCTCCTCCTCCTCCTGCTGCTGCCCCTCTGCTTCTGCTTCCACCACTACTACTACGACTACTGCTACTACTACTGCTGCTTCTACTACTACTATTACTACTGCTACTGCTACTACTACTACTACTACCACTACTACTACTACTACCTTCTACTACTACTACTACTACTACTACTACTACTACTACTACTGCTACTACTGCTACTACAACTACTACAACTACTACGACAACAACTACTACTCCTCCCGCTACCACTACCACTGCTACCACATGATACCACTACTACTACTACTACTACTACTACTACTACTACTACTACTACTACTCCTGCTGCTGCTGCTGCTGCTGCTGCTGCTTGCCTTATCGGAGTTTTTTCCTGTTGTTACCATCGATGTTGGCCACAGCCTTACTGTAGCTGGTGCTTCGGGCGTGTGGTAGCTCAGGACGTCCTGGCAGTCGTCCGAGGTGCCACAGCAGTGAAGAGCGAATCCTTGGTCTTGTCCTTTCGTATTCTTGACATGTATACATCCTACAGGACCAGCTACGGTACCTGAGGATGTTGAGCAAAAGTCTTGTAGTCCAAGGAAACTTTCAGCTAGCCTGCGAAGCCGTGTCAAGACCTACTGCATGGTCAGTCTATCAGGCTACAGGACATGTGCATTGATGTTCCTCGCAGGGAGCTGGACATGTGACATATGACTGTTGCCGTATTGTTCCTTGATATCCGGCATGCTTGTGATTCCGATTGCTGCTGCTGCAGCAGCAGCTTCGTGTAATCTGCGACACCTTTTCTCGAGCCATTTTGTGCCTTCCTCTGCATGTACATAAACAAATAAACAAACACTTATGTATACGTATATATATATATACACACATGTATACATATATGTTGTGTGAGTGTGTTCTGAAGCTTTGTCTGAGGCTGAGGGAAGGTTTCTTAGGCTTGTCAGAAATCTGTAGGGTGATCCCTACACATCAGCCTAGCAGGTCGAGTGCTTAGTGCCGCCACTTGCAGCTGGCGCTTACCAGGACCGCCAGAACTGAACTGGAAGTAGGCTTGGGTTTCCTACGCCGGATGTTGCGCGAGCTTAAATAAACAGGTGCTGTCCAACATGCTCGCCAACGCCAGTAGAGCTACCAATGCAGTTTTCTGTTGACTTGGACCCGCACCTCTCATCTCGCAACACTTCGAGCCGTGCAGGTTCACGTCAGAGTGCCGTACATCGGGGATGCAGTGCCTTGGTCCAGATCCGACTTTTCAGAAAGACGTAAGCCTTGACCTGCGCACGAATGACGAGTTGTGCAATGCTGCCACAACAACAACAGCAACTGCTCCAGCTGCCGCCGCCACCACCCCTCCTTTCCCCCTCCCCCCACTACGACATAGTTCTGCCCCTACCCCGATGCCACCCCTACCCCTACTCTCTCCCCAACCGGCCCTACCCATATCCCTGCCCCGACCTCACTCCTACCGACGACCTGCGTCCACTACTACTGCTACTAGTACGACTGCTATTGCTACTACTGCTGCTGCTGCTGCTACTACTACCACCACCACCACCACCACTACTACTACTACTACTACTACTACTACTACTACTAGTAATAATAATAATAATATAACTACAACTACTACTAATACTACGACAACTACTAGCTATAACTCTTATTACTATTACCATTACAATTTCTACCACCACCACCACCACGACGACGACGACGACTACTACTACTACTACCACGACTATTACTACTACTACTACTGCTGCTGCTACTACTACTACTACTACTACCACTACTACTACTATTACTACTACTACGACGACGACGACTACTACTACTACTACCATTTCTAGTACCATTAACCATTACGATTAGCATTGCTATTACTAGTACTTCACTATTACTATTACTCTTGCTATTTCCATTACTAATTCCCCGTACTATTACTATTGCTATTGCTCTTTCTATTTCTATTGCTAGTACTACTACTACTACTACTACTACTACTACTACTACTACTACTCCTGCTGCTGCTGCTGCTGCTGCTGCTGCTGCTGCTGCTGCTGCTGCTGCTGCTGCTGCTATTGCTACTACTACTTCTGCTGCTGCTACTACCCCTACTGCTACTCGTGCAACTCTACGGCTACACTACGACGACTACGACGACCACGACCACGACCAAGACCAAGACCACGACACGACTACTACCACCACCAGCAGCACGACGACGACTACTACAACGACGACGACTACTACTTTACTACGACTACGACGACCACTACCTACCACGACCACGACCACGACCAAGACCAAGACCAAAACCACGACCACGACTACTACTACTACCACCACCACCACCACCACCACCAACGCGATGACGACGACCACGACGACGACGAATACTACTACTACTACTACTACTACTACTACTACTGCTACTGCTACTGCAACAGCTACTGGTACAACAACAACAACTACTACTA